AACTAGTTAATATTTTATTACTTGAAAAATATTTTATGTTTTATGTTATAAAGTAATTAATTTATTCTTTTGTTTTTATATTTTGTTAATTCTTTTTTTATAAATATTTTGTTTGAAATATTTAATAGAAATTATTAATGGAAATATTATTAATGTACATTAGTCGACATCTTGTCGAAAATAGTTGGCATCCTGTCGACATAATAGGAAAAACTGCATTTTTTTGGTTATTTGAACCGATTTGGTCGACATCCGAAATATAGGAAATGTTGACCGAAATAATGTAATTTTTATATTACCATCCATTTTCATGTTGGTGAGCCTTGACATCGACATATGTCGGGCGACATTTAGCGACATTTGGCGACATTCGAAACCATGGCAATATGTATTTAGACTCGAATTGATGTGAATTTTGAGTTTTCTTGTTGTTGAAGCTCAGTTCTTTGTGTTGTTGTCTTTCTTATTCTTTTCATTTTTTGGGGTTTATATTTTTATGAATACATGATATTTTCACATTCCTTTTTATTATAATACCACGGTCACTACCACCCAGAATAATAGCTATTAGTGTTGACTCTGGATCTCTGCAAATAATACATGTACAACAGGTTCGACAGTCCAATCATGAGTAAGCAAATCAGGGATCTGTAGAGATCAGATGTACCGGAAATTGATGTGCTTACTCCTGATTGGATTACATAGCCTGTTGTAAACATTTTATTTGTAGCAGATCTGAAGCCATTCGTGTTGTTTTAGGTGTACTTAATGCAAGTGTTCTTATGGGTTACTCTTAGTTTGTCTGTAAAGGGACATCTGAGTTCTTGTTTTGTGTATATATATAGAGTCTGATGTAATATCCTTAGTTATGTTCTGCAAGGGCACTTTGGTCTTTTTATTTTCTTTTATTTGTTTCAGTTGCCCTATAGTATAAATACCAATTATGGCACTGCCAGCCAAGACTGTTTTTGCTCTCACACATTCTTTTCTCTTTCTTCCTCCTCTTCTTCATCTTCTTCTCTTCCTCTCTCTTCTGGGTAATATGGTATCAGAGCGGGACAGTGTTCTCTAGAGAGATTCATAAAAAAAAAGACTGTTCTCTAGACAGTTCCTTTTCTGATCGTAGCCCTCTTTTTTTTTTTTTTCTTTCTTTTCCTGGAGTGAGAATGGAAAGGATGACTTCGGCCCAGGTCTGAGAAACCTTCGGCAACTTCTCCCCTCCTATTATCTTGGCTGAAACATTAAAAGATCAATATTATTTGGATTGGAACCTCCAAAAATCTACTTGGACTGAAAAGGGACAAGGTTTGAATCCTTTGTAACCTTTGTTCATGGTAGTAAAACCAAGTACAGGTCAAGTTTTGTATTGGCCGAATGGTATAAGGGGAGTTTGACTCTTTTTTGTGGGTCTGAAGATCCAAAGCCATAAAACTTTGGAACCTTTGTAGGTCATGAGTGACCTGGTTCAGTCGGAAGGGTACTGCAGTATTTTCTATTGATGTTTGGGTGGCTCATACTAGCCCTGGAGTGGTCTGTATGAACTATACATGTGTTTAACAGCAGCTGCTGTGTTTGGGTGTGCTTTTTGCATGCATAAAGGTGCTTAGGAGTGGTTATCAAAATCTGTTGGGATTCCTGTTATCATCTGTGTGTGTGGATTGAAAGAAAACCATTTGTTGTTCACTCTGGAGTTGTTATTTATGGCTTTTGAAGACTCTGCAACATCAGGAACTACATCTAATCAGGGTGGATTAAATAGTGGTCATGATACCTTGAGCTTTCCCATGACTATCACTCTGTTGGATGGCCGGAAGTACTTGGCATGGTTTAAGGAGATGGGCCTATATGTTACAACCGGAGGTAAGGCAAGGTATATCAACGGGAAGGTAAAGGAACCTAGATTGGGCACGACTGAATATGACAAGTGGGACCAAGATAACAACATGACCATGTTGTGGCTTTTGACATCCATCCTACTTTATGTGGGCAGAGACAACTAAAGAAATATGGGAACAAGCAAAATCAACATATTTGGAACAGAGGCACTATGCCAGAATCTATCAATCGCAAGGAGAATCTTCCACATGTAAGCAAGTGGAAAGGAGTTTGTCTGCTTATTATTCAGCCCTCACTTCAGTCTAGAAAGAGCTAGATTACTACCAAAAGCATTAAATGGGAGAGTGATAAAGATGCTAAGGCCTATAAACAAATAGTCTCTCAGCAATGTGTTTTTGCATTTCTACTAGGTCTCAACCCCATGTATGAACCCATCAGAGTGCATATTTTTGGGTAGCAAGGACACCCGTTCTGTCCAAGAGGTATATGCCTTAGTCCAGTCTATGGAGGGAGGTTTGCAATGAATGCTCCCGAGGGGGAGACTTTTGCCTTAGTAGTGAGAGGAAGCACAAGTTCGGGGAAAAAGGGGGATGGTTAGAAAGCGGTGGATGAGAAAGATAAACCGTGGTGTGCCCATTGTCAGAAATCCATGTACACCCATGAAACTTGCTGGGACTTGATTGGAAAACCAAAGTGGGCGCAAGAACTAGGAAATAAGTCAAAAAGAGTAGAATAATAAGGCAAATAAGAAGAAATTTACCTCAACAAAACAAATTTAGCATCTCACAAGTAACTCAGCCTTTGCTTTCCATGTTTCTTTTGACACTTGGGAATCCCCATGGATCATTGATTCCGATGCTTTAAACCATATGACTAGTAAGTTAACCCTATTCCAATCATATACCCTTCTCTCTGGTAAAGATAAAGTGAGGCTAACTGATGGATCCTTCTCCTTCATTGCTGGTCGATGATCTATATCTTTCCCCTTTGGCCTTTCACTATTTAATGTTTTACATGTTCCCAAATTGCCTATTAATTTGTTATCCATTAGTAGTATCACTCATGCCTTGAATTGTTCAGTAACCTTTCTTCCACATTCTTGTGTTTTCTAGGATTTGGCCTTTGGGAAGACGATTGGTAGAGGGAACATGATTGGTGGTCTCTTTGTGCTAGAGAATAGAATTGGTGTTGCAGCTTCAGAGTCTGAGTTGGTCTAGTAAGAGTCAAGTTATTTTGTAACACCATCATTTAGGTCATATGTCTTTTGAGTCCTTGAAGTATTTGTTTCAGAATTGTTTAAGTTTGTGTTAGTCAATGAGTTTTAGTGTCAAGTGTATTAGTTGAGTAAGCATTGTAGAACTTCATTTTCTTTACGTGGTAAAAGATCAAACTTTCCTTTTTATCTTTGTGTACTTTGATGGGCCATGTCAATATTCCAACCAAGGTTTCAGAGTATCGACATGTATCGGCCCGTATCGGCCGATATGTATCGTTCTGGGACCCCACCGATACGCCCCTATAGTGGGTGTATTGGGGGTCTAACTAGTTCAGGGGATGGAGGAGACCTAAACCAGCCTCCAAAATCGGTTTTAGAAAAAAATAAAAAAAAACTAAAAAAAAAATAGTATCGATGGCGTATCGGGCGTATCAATATTTTGAACCATGATTCCAACTAAGAATGGCTACAACTATTTCATTTAATTTATAGATGATTTCTCTTCTCTTGGTTCACTTGGGTTTACCCTATGCACTTTCAACAAGTAGTTCCTAAACCTGTAAGATATTTTCAGTGCAAAGATCCAAGTTTTCCAATCAGACAATGCAAAGGAGTATTTTCATAGTGGCATAATTGAATTTTTTTGCTTCCTGTGGCTCCCTGTATCGGAGCTATTGTGCTAGAAGTCTAGACCCCTCAACAGAATGGGGTTGTAGAGAGAAAAAATTGCCACTCCTAGAAGTTGCTCGGGGAATGCTTTTGCAGATGAATGTTCCAAAAGATTCTAGATGGATGCTGTTATGACTACTGCTTATGTTATTTATTTATTTATTTTTGATTGGAAACGGTAACTTCATTAATATAACTTAAGAATAACTTTCCAGATTTAAGTACAACTGTCAACCCCTAAGTAGGTGTTGAGCCCCTAGTAACCTTTCTTACAAAACTGCCCAGAACATTCTCCCCAGTAACCTTAGGTGTTGAGCCCCCTAAGTAGGTGTTACGCAACGTGTCAGCTGAACCATTAGTTGATGTTATCAAATCACATGGGTACAAAACTGCTTATGTTATCAATCGCATGCCATCTCGGTTATTGGAATATAAGTCCCAACATCAACTTCTCTTCCTTAAGGCTCTAATGCTTCTTATACCCATGTGTGTCTTTGGTTGTTGGTGCTTTGTCTATGATCTATCCCTTACCTATGGCAAGCT